GGACAACCTAACGATCGAGGACAGAGATTGTATGAATTTTGTAAAGAAAACGATATGATCATTGGAAACACCTGGTGTAAACTACCCAAACGACGATTATACACTTGGAAAGCCCAATTTAATGATAATAATAACCCTGAGTCTCCAAAAAATCAAATAGGCTATATACTTGTAAATGAGTGTTTCCGAAATGCCATTAAAAAGTCACTACATTTCCTGGCGCAGATATTGGATCTGATCATCAACCACTTGTAGCAGATATTAAACTAAGGTTAAAGCGAATTCAGCGACAAAAACCAAAAACCAATGTACTTAACTTTGACGATATAAACATAAAACATAACATTAAGAAAGAATTTAACAATAGATTAAAAAACATCGGAGAACAACTATAAGATCAAGAGGAAATATGGAGTGAATTTAAAAACCAAATTAACGAAATCTCCACAAACAATGATTATAGAAAAAACTTAATCAAAAATAATAAATGGATGACAGACGACATTATCATAAAATCTAATGAAACAGATTATAGACACCTGCAGAGAAGAATAAAAAGGAGATCAAATTAGCCAAAGCAAAATGGATGAGAAAGGTGCGATGAAATGGAGGATGTAATATCTAAACACAACTTATTTAATGTGCATAAAAAAACTAAAAAAAATTAGGAACATATTTCAAAAATGAGTTCCCTTTGTACTCGTTGGCAATAATAACAAAATTATTGTACAGGGTTACGCAATTGAACTGTTACCTTTTTTTAAACGACCATATTTTTTTGTGTGAAATTATTTTTTATTGATTGAAATGACAAAAATGTGTGAAAACAATCAAAATTTCAGAATCCACTCACTTTAGCTCGATGTGGCCACCTTTTGCCTTAACTATGACTTCAAACGATTAAAAAACGAGCTGCATGCTGCACGAATGTGATCTTCCGGTATTTTGGCCCATTCACGTATAATCGCTTTCTTCAGCGCATCCATACTGGCATATTTTTTAGTCTTCGCCTTGCTTTCCAAAATGGACCAGATGGAATAGTCCATCGGATTTGCGTCTGGTGAATTCAAAAGCCATTGTGTGGATGAAATGAAGTGTGAAACATAATTTTTTAACCATTCTTGGTTCACACTAGCTTTATGAGACGGTGCGAGTCTTGTTGGAACGTCCATGGTCTACAACTGAAATGTTTGGGTGCAAACGGCTTTAAAGCAGCTTTTAAAACATTTTTCCGATAATAAGTTGCATTGACTTTGACACCAGATTCAATAAAAACAATTTAAGAGCGTCCATCGGCGGTTACAGTTGCCCATACCCAGGGCCGTTCCTGGCGGGTATGCAATGAATGCCCCGCACGCAGGCGCTAAATTTTAGGGGCGCCAAATATTTGGTTACCATTAAAAAAATATTCTCACTTCTAAAACAAAAATGTCAGTGTTCAGTATTTCCCCGGTAAGTGCTAAAGCAATCACTTCATCCGTTTACTATTCCCTATTATAATACCAAAATTACTAATTAAATTACCACCCTACAATTTTATTAGTGTCAGCATACGACGCGCCGCACGATGCACGATGCAATGCGTTTATTGTAAATTGTAAGTTTAAGGCGGCAAATAAACTGCTAGAAGTAAGTAAAATAAGTTAACTTATTTATTTAAATAAAATAAAAATAAATAAGTAACTCTAACTGGAGGCACCTTTCTGTTAATATTTCTCGTCATGAAAATAGCATGGAACGTATGAAAAGCGCTCAAAAATGGCACGAGTTAAAATTGCGTTTGAGTAAAGAATGTACTATTGATAAAAAGCAATAAAAATATTATGAAATTGAAAAACAGCGATGGCGTGAAATCATTAAAAGAATGATTTGTATTGTGCAGTATTTAGCTGGCCAAAATTTAGCTTTTAGGGGTGACAGTA